AGATTGGCCCAACTCCTATAGAACCAACAGGAGGGGTGAAGTTGTTTTGTGCCGCTCTCGCATTGGTCATTCTGCTTTAACTCATATTTTCATCTTGAAGCGAGAGCCTCGATCAGAATGTGAACACTGTCACCTTCCTTTGACAGTTAAGCACATTTTGATTGAGAGCAATCATATCAAGAACATAATCTACTTAATCTATTTTCCCAACCGGGTTTATATTGTATTGTAACATGTTTAAGGGTGAATCTTGCGTTTTGATTTGTCAATTAGACACTGTCGATTGGACAATAACACCCCTCTGTTTTAGTAATTTCTTTTAAAATGCTAAAAAAGCATGTTACATTGTCGATAAATACTTCCTGCTTCTTATTTAGAGGAGCGTCATTGTGCAACAGACATGTCCTGAGATTTTACATTACAACCCGTGAGGCTAACGCGTCTTGGGTCCTAATGAACTCAGGGCGTATCGATTGAACGATAACACCCCTCTATATGTGAAACAGGAAGTGTTTATCTCCTAAACATACTAGACTTTTTGAAAGAGACATGTTTTTATCACAAATTTTAATTGGATATTTATCATTTCAGTTATTGTATTTTAAATATTTATATGCATAAAAGATTTATTTTATTTACTGTGATATTGTTTTTATTTATGCATATAATACTTTTCTGTATAATATATTTAGCTTGTCTCGCATAAATCACCATATGTTTGGCGCAATATAGCCCGGTGGGTGCTGACGTGCCATAAAATCACATTTCATTTCCACCGAGGGGGATATCGCAGACCATTCTACCAAGCAGAGTTGTCCTCCCTTGCAGCTCACACTATCGAATGTATTGACCACGCTGTTGGGAGATTTTATCGAAATGCTGGATAACGAGACTTTCGTGGAGAATAATCACAGACAAGTGATCTTATTTTAGTATATTCAGCGTTCGCGCAGTGCCAAATTAAGGAATCACTCTTATATTGACTTAGAAATGGACGAACGCAACAGCAGGCCTAGATTGGTTAGATGGGCCTAGATAGTAGATCTATTTTTTCTACAGAGGCTGAACTAAAAGTTTAAAATAGCCCTAGTCACAAGAAAACTGGCAAGGACATACATAGGCCTAGACCGTAGACGTTTCAGTTTTCGAGACTCAGTTCAGGGTTCATTTTTTTAGCCGCTTTCTCTCTAGAGATGGGCACACCTAGGCTTTTTTTCAAATATGAAAAACATTGATTAAGGAGAAAATTTTAATTAAGGACATACATGGGCATTTCGAGACTCAAGTTCAGGTTCCTTTTTTAGCCGCTTTGTCTCTAGAGACAAGTGACGAGTCATAAAAATTATGCACGGGTGATATAATTCTTGTTTGTTTCTATTTCAATATGCGATGGGTTTTTTTTACTTACCGACAAATGAAGATTAATTTCATGAAAAAGAGCAGCCATCTTCCAAAGGTTTCGTGTCAGGACTGTGCTATTCTTGCTACGCGAAATACCCGGGTTATCTCTTAACGCGCATTCTACGATTAATGACGGTAGAGCGACCGTAATTCGAACTATTTTGCAGTGCATATTGTCGTAAACTTTCTGTCAGGCATTTATGGCGAAATAACCATAAAATTTACGAAAAAATTTTATAGTGAACGCACCTGTAGTAACTTGTATTCCATATAATTTGTGTCATGTCTTATATTAAGTTACTAAATTTTGTTTAAACAATGTATATTGTATTATTTATTTGGAATGTATACACATCATTTTATATATGATATATTCACATAGTTAGCAATTTATGGTGTATTTGGAATGTTTACATGCTAACATTTTATATTGTATTTGGGATGTTCACATCACAATTTGTTGTTCATTTGGAACTCCTCATAGCTAACAATTTATGGTGTTTTGGGGGTTTTCACATAGCTAACAATTTATAGTGTATTTAGAACGCCGATATAGCTCACAATTTATGTTGTCTTGGGTATGATCACAGCTATTTTGTATTTGGGATCTCGGGTGAACGTTATAACACGCCTCTCTTTCCAATGAAAGTAAATTGAGTAAATTGATCGAATAATATGTCAACAAGTTTACAATTTACATAACACACAGGACGCGTTATCTCCTATATAATATCATTTTATGGATGAAAAATTTAATGAGATTTATGTAAAGAGTAAACGACCATAACGTAATCCCTTCTGTTACTTTATATATATATATATACATTGCATGTCAAGATGTAGAGTGGGGTTTTTTTCAAGTTATTTCGTTTTATATTTAAACCGATAAGCCAGTTGAATAGAGTGCAAATGGCTGGCATGCATTGGTCTTCAAACGTCATACAAATAAATCAGTGATTCGTATCGATGTGGGCAGATTTGGTGAATGCATAATCTACTTCCTGGTACAAAATCTTTTCACAGGGATCGCAGGGTTGGTATTTCAATTTACCGACATAAGTGTCGGCCCCTGCTCAAGCTTATCATACCACTAGGGGTTGTTGATCACGTTAGACCATATTAAGGTAGGTTTGATTTAGCTACATTTTTATGTAGATATCAATACATTGGTTTACTGACATTAGAACATTAGTCTACTTTTATTTGGGATCTTCACATAGCTATAAATTTCTGATTTATTTGAGATCTACACAGAGCTATAAATTTCTGATTTATTTGAGATCTTCACATAGCTGAAAATGTCTGTTTAATTTAGGATATTAACTTAACTAAAAATATTTCTGTTTTATTTGGGATTTTGAATAGCTAAAAGTTTCTGATTTATTTGAGATCTTCGCATAGTTTTTAAAAACAAATGTTTTATTTGGGATTTACACATGGCTAAATAAAAATCGTATTTATTTGAGATCTTCACATAACTAAAATTCGGATTTATTGGGTTTTTCACATAGCTAAAAATGTATGTTGTTTTTCGGCACATCGATTGGAGAACTGTATATTCTAGCCAACAACCAAAAAGCTTCAATTGGCATAATGTTGATAGCGATAAACGAAAGTTACAAACTTCATTACAGTTGAAATCAAATTTCAAGCAGAACTGTTATTTTCATCCAACATTCAAACTTTATAAAGATATGAAATACACAAAATCAACTGATCCATTATGTATTGTTTAATGACATTAAACATTATGTACTGTTTAATGGCGAGACAGTAAGTAATATATTGTAACAACAAGAGGGCCACAGACCCGAGTGTTTTTACAATATATCACGCAATGTTTATAGCGCGGGGCCATTTAACGACTTAAAATACAGACACTCAACACATGCTTTTACAGTGAAATACGTCACGCGAGTCCAATATTTCACTAGTATAAATAATGTACGATTGGCAAGTTGCCCGTACGATTAATTGAAATAATGTTACGCCAACATCAAAGGATGTCGTCACATCTGTATTTTAAATATAACGAAATGTCAAAATTCCTTACACATTGGGCAAGAAAGTAATGCACAAGGAAAAAATCATTTGGAATAAATTTCTGCATTTTAATATCTTTGAAGTTTGTCAAGGTATGTACGTCGACTTGATATACTCTTTATCTGCGGTATTTAGTTTCTACTAGACATATATTTTATTGTCCCCCCGCCGTTCGAATAAAGCAGGGGACTATTAAAATGGGTTCGTCCGTCCGTCTGTCCGGCCGTCTTTTTGTGACACAATAACTCTCTTTCTAAATGAGCTAGAATGTTCAAACTTGGTGTAGGTGTTTATTAGGTCGATGTCGTGATGGAGTTTGAAGATGAGCATTTTCCGCTTAGGGTAAGCAGGGGTAAGCAATTTCATTGGTTGATGCTTTGGGGCACAATACCTTTAGTTCTGATTGAGTGAGAGTGATCAAACTTGGTGTATAGTTTCATTACATCAATACCCTAACCAAGTTCGATAATGAACATTTTCTGCTCAAGGTAAGCAGAGCGATAAGCGATTTTTTTGGTCGAGACTTTGGAACACAATAACTCTCCATCTAATTGAGCAACATGTTCACACTTAGTGTAGGTGTTTATTAGGTGAATGCCTTGGTGGAGTTCGAAGATGAGAATTTTCTGCTAAGGGTAAGCAGGGATAAGCAATTTGATAGGTTGGTACGTTGGGACACGATAACTTGAGTTCTAATTAAGAGAGAGTGATGAAACTTAGAGTAAAGTTTCATCACACCAATACCTTGACTAACTTCGATAATGAACGTTTTCTGCTGAGGGTAAGCAAAGCCATAAGCAATTCGATTGGTCAAGACTTTGAAACACAATAACTCTCATTCTAATTGAGGTAGAATGTTTAAACTTGGTTTAGGCGTTCATTAGGCGAATGCCTTGATGGAGTTCGATGATGATTTTGGGCACGATAAATTTGATTATAATTAAGTGAGAGCTATGAAACTCTGAGTATAGATTCATTATAGTATTACCATGACTAAGTTGGATGAGAATTTTCTACTTGGGCTAAGGAGCGATAAACAATTTGATTGGTCAAGACTTTAGAAAATAAAAACTTTTTAATTGAGATGTTCAACTGAGTTCAATGATCAACATTTCCCACTAAGTGATGAAACTTAGTGTATAGTTGATAATCAGTTTGATTGCTCGATACTTTTGAAAAGGATAAACGTGCAATTAATTAGTGTGTTTATCTATTTATTTCGGGATTTCGGCGGGGGACATCAGTCTCACTGTTGGCCTGTTTTATTATAAATTAAGTTATGTCTTGTTATAACATATCAGATATTTAAATCTAACATGGTGGAGACGACGAACAAAAATCGCCCCACCCCCTTTAAATTCATTTAGTTGCCTATTCACTTTTGTGCTTATACTTTATTGTGATCGAAAAATATAACCTGCCAGAAAATACTCTATAATATTATATAGATCACTACTATTATATAGATCACTACTAATGTTACATATTGATATGTGACTTGATAAAAGCATGGACAATGTCTGGTGTGGATCGTTTCTTTTGAATATCATACATACTAAATATAACGTGTTATTCAATATCCTATTGCGTCGTTTTATTTATGTTGTGTTTGACTTTCAACGAAAGCCCGTTATCGCTCTAATTGTGAACGATTCAGTGCACGGGTAAGTTTGAAATATCTTTTCTTGGATAATTTTGATACGATATAATTTCACAGTTATAATACAGATAAAAATCTCAGTGACTTCTCACAGACTAACTTCTAAAACTTGGTGTAAAATATTGTTCAAACAATATCCAGTTTTGAAGTGGATATTTAACACGAATAACGTCAACATGTTGAGTTTCAATATTCAAGGTTAAGGAGAGTATGACAAATGAACAATTCATAATTTAAAAATAGCTATCACAGGTAAAAACAGTTGTTGAGATGATATAACCGAGTGTGTGTTTCAATCTAAACCAAATTCCGCTCAATCTTTCAAATTCACTCAATCTTTCAAAACATAAGTTCTTCCTATATTCTACTTGTATAATGTATATGTTTTGTAGTTTGGGAGTGACTTATCAAACTTCCCACTTTAAAATGCTATTGCATTTCTAATGATTTTAAATTTATCCTGATATTACATGTATATATGTCTTTGTAGTTTAGGAGGGACCTATGGAAGATTAGTTTTTTTTGCAAACTAAATACGTTGCCTCATTAAATAAAGTTTTTATTATTATTATTATTATTATTATTATTATACTATACAGAGTTTGTCACTCACTTTAGCGTTTTATTTTGACCTATACAAGGTTCAAACCTTAATGTTATATTGCATTGTCCACAATCAAAATACGTATTTCGTTTCGTAAAAATACTTCAGTAACACTGCGTTGGATGTATCTCGCAAGTAAAGATTTCGACGTTAATTAGCTATGAAAGTTTGTTATTTTAGGTAGCCGCTTTGTTTTTGTTCCATATATAGTTCTTATATTTAAAGACAATGTAATTTGATGTACGGACCAAAGTCAGACAATTGGTTTATGACAGGCCTGATTTGGAATACATTTTCTACTCCTTTTCCGAGGCGTATCCCGAGTTTATTAACTGGAATTACTCCCAGGAAGAGATCACATTATTTATTCATTTATTTCCATTGTCAGCTGCCGTGTTTGTCAAGACGCGCGACCGTTTATTTTTAATATAAACGTTTGATTTACTATTATTTATATTTTTTCAACTCATATTTATATGTAAGCCTTCCATATAATTTTGATGTTTCGATCCCCTTTTTGTTATGAATGTATATAAACTGGTTTACATTCAATCGTTTCCGTCTTTACTCTTATTTCAAATCAGTTTCAAAAGAAAATGATAAAATCTTAAACTTTCATTTCAATGCGATAATACGTGTTATTTTGGGAGAGTTTTAATGATTTTGTCTAAGAAAACTGCTGAATTCTTAAAATTGAAACATATACATATTGTGTCTGTCCAATATCTAATCATTCAGAAACGCAGCTGAATAATTAAATACAAGTTTTATGCACCCTTCAGATAATATCACCTGTGGGGGAGCCACGTTGGCTCAGTGAGAATGGCCCTGGATCGCTAACATGGAGATCCCCTAAAGGCTAAAAGCCAAGAACCACTGCAGATTCCGTCATAGGTCACGATATGTAGATGGTTAGGGCACGTGTCTGATGGCGAGATTGTGGGTTAACCGTTATCATGCCCTAACCCTAATTACATCTCGTGCCATATGACGAAATCTGCAATGGGCCTTGGCTTTTAGACCTAACCTGGAGAACCCGGTTTCGATCTCGGTGTTGGCTGAGAAAGTTCCACTGGATTTCCCGGTGTGGTTTTCCCTTAGGGAAAAGCGTCCAGTCCATCGAATGGGACGGAAAATCCAGGTAACATGTACACATTCGAGTGCACGTAAAATAATTCGAAATAATAGTAACTCGTAATACCGCTGCCAGGTTAAATGTTCCCCATAGTGTATGCCCGTCTTTATGAGCTCGAATGGGCCAGAAAAGTAAGAAGTTAAACCACATTTTATTTCATTTCATAGTGACTAAGTGAGAGTATAAAGAAATGGTCCGTTGTAGTTTTCGTTTTACTGTTTATTATTTCTAATAAAGTATGTATATTCTCATACAACCCTGTCATATTTTGTCGGAAATAATTTTGTAAAACGTCTCATCATTATTGGAGTATCACAGGAGAGAATATGCGGTTAGTCGCAGCGGTCATGGGGGAAGCTTTAATAAAAAAAATATATTTAAGAAAATTGTGACGTTGCCAACGTTTTCGTGAGACTTGAAACAAAGAACATAATATGAGAAATTGGGTGAGGCTTTTGTAAGAGGCGATAATTGGTATTTCATTCAAGTAATCCTTGGTCATTAACGCGTGAACAGGATCTGACGACATTCTATTCTACCTAATCCTGGCTTTAATTAGGAACGTCCGCGAAATTTATAGTATAATAATATTGCAGTAAAATACACCTTTCCTTTATATATAACTATAAAAGAAAACAACACCTTTTTTCACGGTGTAAACACGCGCTCTAAGTCATCATGCCCATAATATGGGAAATATGGCTGAACAGAGTAAATGCAGGTTTTAGGGGCCGTGGAGATTTGTAAAATGTCCCAAGGTGTACACGAGTGAAAAAAGGTGGGGAACTACTGATATATATTGAAATATTTAGATCATGTATAATGGTAATCAAATCATTATCTTCGTTCACAAAGCATTTGTTGATTCTATTAATTTTTGAATTTGGATTGAACTGCAGTTATTATTTGTGGGGTTTTTTTTCAGAATGCATAAAAATTAAATTTGACCGTGATATAAAGATATAGATGCAACAGTTAGACGCGGTGTATCTAGGAATGGAAGACCACAACCAAGGGGAACTTTCCCTTCTATCAGACCTTAGCGAAAATAATATATTAAATGTTTTGAAGAATAGGCACCATCAAGATAAGATATATGTAAGTAGCTCTTTATTTCATGTCGTTATTATGTCTTCTGTTTGGTCGGTTGAACCGAGGTGACTCAGTGAATAAGACGTTGGATCTCTAGCCAGGAGGTCTCAGGTTTGCGCCCGGTGTTGTCCGAGAAAGGTCCTGTGTACACATTGCCGTGTACGTAAAATAACCCTTGGCAGTTGGAATTCGAAATGAGTAAGCCCCAGAGCCACAGTCCTAAAATGACTCGATAGATTTGGACTTGCCGGATTTTATATAACAACAAGTAAAATCATGAGGTTATTTATATATTAGAACAAAATGTCATGAGGTTGATTTACATATCGTGGGGTTGATTTTATCTAACAAGAAGCAAAATTATGAGGTGGAATTTATATCATAATTAATGTCACTATGATGACTTTATATAACAACAAGTAATGTCATGAGGTTGATTTTATACCATTGAAGCCATGGGGTTAAGTTTTCTGCAATCACAAAATAACATTCCTTAAGAGTCAGTTGGTTACAGATAATTTGCTTATCATTCCGAGAAAAGTTTGAAAGATTTTTCGGGAGCCACGAGTTCGATGCCGGTTTTGATTAAAACATTCCGCGGGATTTTCCGCTGTGTTTCCCTTTGGAGGGCCTGTATGTTTCAGTATGGACAGCCTGGTACAGGAACCACGTGCAGTTTTTTAAAGGTGTCGTGTACATGTTTGGGGTGCACATAAAAAAAAACCTTGACAGATGGGATCCGAAAAAGTGTAGATGGAAACACCTTGTCCGGGTAAAAATTACTATAGCATACTGCATCGCGTATACCCGTCTTCATTAGACCCTTTGGTGCAAAAAGTTGGACGTTGAACTACACCTAACTTTTTAAAATATTTGGGAGTGTTCGTATTTTTTAATGATATGTTAGGTTGTCGTGTATACTTCGTTTACGCCCCAGTGGCTTTCTAAACCAAATAACTATGAAAATACACGACAGCAGTATTATCTTTCTTTAACTGTATTAATCGTAAAAATTTAAAGGGCCAATCCCGATAATATTTTGGATAATTAAACTGCTTAATTTGATGTTAAAATCCGTTAAAATTCGCTACCTTAGGGCCGAGCAACTAACCCAACATATTTGATACGTTTTCGAACAACTTAAACCCGTCAGTCTTTATCTGGAAATGGAGACCGGTGTCTCAAACTGTATTATGCGGTGTACGGATAAAACCAGACTTTTATTTTATAAAAATAATGTGTAGTTGAAATTTACCTTTCGTTATCAAGTACAGCACATGGGTCATTCATTGTAAAGACCTCTAAAGTAACGGGGGTCGATTATCAGGTCACCCAACGAACAAATTGACCCCAAATCTTAAAAGGGTTACGTGTACGGATAAGGAATTTTGACGTTCACGTCCAAACAACTCAATATTTTGAGCTGAAATTTTGAGACAAGTTAAATGCACCATTCCTCGATATTTTGGCGCTTAAATTTCATACGTACTCAGACTTTTATTTTTGAGACTCTGTTCAAATCGGGATAGTCCCTTTAACTTTTCGATGAGTTATTTGATCATGCGTGGTTCTGTATAACATTTTATAAAGCATTAACAAAAAGTAATAGTTTTATCGAAGGCTGTTTTCAACGATTAGGGTGGTGTTGCATAAAGATATCCCGATTGAACTATAATTTTAAAGATCTTTGGATAGCAATCACTAAAGGTCGTGTGTGTATATATTGATTGTCGTCTATAAAACTATGTTATTCAACTACTGAGGATTTATCAATCATTTCGCAAGTAACTCGCATTGTCTGTTTTCATTAGCCCAGATGGAGCAGAAACTAGGACGTTAACCCCCTTTCATTTTAATTGATGAATTAGGCAATAAGAGTAACAAAAATTAAACATTGTCTTGAAAAACCCTTACTGTGAACCAATAACGATAATAGAACTTGAAAATTTGAATCCGAAAATTAAATAACTAAGAGTAGTTAAATCGTAACATCTTAATTCTTAAAAATAAAACATGAGATCTGAACAGCGTATATATCTGATAATTTAATGACTCACTGATTCTGTTTAGAAGCTATACCGCCCGCCCTTTCCAATATTTCAACAGGAGAATTAATTGCTTTTTATTAACTATATAAATTTAAAACCGTGGGAGCCACGTCGTCTTTTCTTTTGTTTACCAGATCGCTATCCTATAAAGGTGTAGACACCTTATTTTTAGTTAAGGGGAAGAACGATCTAAGTCACATTTTTGTCATTTCGCATAAAAGGCAAACAGACTTTTGGACGAGAATGCTTAACACGAACAGAACAACGAGTGGGTTTAATTACAACTTCAAAATGATGTTTAATGCAAATCATAATTACCAGTACAACAACCGACTTCCACTTTTCAGCCAAATTAAGGTCAAATATGGACTTGTATTTGTCCGGGGGGGGGGGGGGGCATTTCAGAAGGGCCTTGGTCGTTTTTACCTGAAATTAATTGTTCCACAGAAAGCTTATACAATTTGCTACCAGATTTCGCCATTAACCCCCACTGGGGTTCGTTGAAAAAGTGACTTAGATCGTTCTTCCTCGTGGCTCTCCATATGGTTCAGTTTTATTTCAATAATTCGCTTGCGCTTAGAGATCTTTAGCAGTGGGAGGAAACCGGAGGACCCTGAACACACCCACAAGATTGGACAGGCGACCCTACTCCTTGTCACGTACAACCAGAGAATCGAAACCACGCCAGTTGACTCAATAACAGACCTTGTGATACAGCGCGTGCTAACTTTTCCGGCAATTCTCGACAATCGCCGAAGACAGTTGTATTTATGTCTATATCTTGTCAAAACTTACCCTCTGCTATATGTATTAAAGTATATAACGTGTAGGTCAAAGAGTTCAGGTAATAATATAACAAAAGAATTTTACGTCACACACTCATGTCTCAACCAGGAAGGTCGATTATATCAAATGTCACAAAAGTCAAATTCCTGGAGAAGAAGCTTCTCCGATTTCTATCCACGCACAATTTAATGACTTGATTATTATGTACATGTATAGTTTTGTGAAATATTATCTATGATTAGTAATATCGAATAAGAAATTATAATTATCGAATGACTATATCTACACATACATTTTAATAATGATATGGGCTGTAGTAATCACATTACAGTCTCATATTGTAACAAAATAATTTTTTATGTCTTAAAGATATATTATCTAAGATTTAAAAAAAGAGCTGACTGTTCTTGCTACATAGTTCCACAATAGATATTGAAAAATGAATATATTGAAATTACTTTATTCTATGGGTGTTTGAAGTTTTGACAAGAAATATTCCGATTGTCAAGGACCATTGTCATGAGGTCTCAGTTGTCAGTCATTTTATTGAACGACGTCCATTTTAACGTTAACCGAATATATAGCGCAGGTGATCTAATCCATTCAATATCTCAGTCATCTGAAAGCCCAGAGAGTTGTTTATGGGCTTGGCATGTGAATACATGTTTAAATAAAATTTATATAACATTTGAAGCCACTAAAAACTGGAATAGGTAGATTTAAATCTTGCATAATGAATCTTTAAAATCAGAAGGGATCTAAATTTCAGATAAACTGTTGAAACATCTGCCATTTGTCCCTTTCAAACTATTCCACACAGTATAGATAATTAAATTTTTAGATCACAGAGTGAGTAAAAATAAACTGAAGAATTGCCCAATTTAACCTTGATATTACACTGTTAATGTTTCATTATCAGAAATGAAATGGAATGGGGTTTAACGTCCTAATGTTCTGCTCCGACTGGGCTAATGAAGACTATCCCCCAGAAAGTAAATATTAAACTGAATATAACCAGGCTCTGGATCTTACTAATATTAATGTTACATGTGTATAACAGGTTATATTTATGTTGAGGTTATTGTTTCTATACTGTATTTATGAACGGTTTGTCAATAAAGAATATCTATTTATATTTAAAAACGCTCCACTTCATTAAATCCTGAAAAAACGGTTTATTGAGTATACCATTCTTTAATTTCGGGATTTTTCTGTTACTATTACGTCATATCTATAATCTATTTTAAGTCCATGGTCATACTGAAACTAAATTATGTTATTTTTCTATATTTATTTAAATCGTTTAATATGAATTACAGTAAGGTTGCTTGCAGTATTTATTACAGAATAAATCCCAACCATTGACGTTCAATTAAATGTTCAATGATGTATAATGAAAATATACGTCTCAAATCAAAATAGTTATACAATGAAAACACAAAAGCGTGATCTCTGTTAAGAAATTATGTAAAGTCATTCGATCTTTGTATTAAGGGTGAAATTTTATTTTTGACGTCATATATGGGGCCATCTTCATTAGCCAAGTGGGTGGAGAAAAGCAGGACGTTCAACCCCATTTTTTCATGTCCATTGATGAGGTGTAATCAACAATGCGCCATGGGACTGTGACGACAGTTTTATTCTAGACAATCAAAAAACTTTTCAAAAGATTTCGCAGACGATCCTGTTATCTGACTCAACCAAGCATGAAATCGAAACCACGTTGGAAAAAACCTTATGATCTAAAGCACACTCGTTTGATTATTGTACCTAGAGAATGAGGTTTATAATAAACTATTATCGTGAAATAATTAAACCGGATCTTTCACGTTTTTATCGAGTAGCCCCATGCCCCCTTTAAATTTATAATTTATACGCGTTTGTGATGTAACACTCAGTACGCCCTTAAAATATCCGCTACGCACCATTTCATTCATTTTCATCGCACTAGAATAAGATAAATAGACTCTGCCACACCCAATAATATCATTCCCGCAAACGATCAGTTCATAAACTCGCAAATTTCCTCGGCGACTCCAAGCGTTTTTAATCCACCACGATTGAATTTGAATAGAGTCTGTGTGATATGCATCCGCTTTGGTAAATAATTCAGGAATTAGTCCACGTCCATGTAATAGGAACAACCTGTCACTCTTTTATGACTTACATAAC